AAAAAAAAAAACAGTACATGCACCATATAATTTTGTTGCTATCATAATTAAGAGGTATTTACAAGGGCTCACCAACCAGAAAACAGAATTTGTTACTGTAAAATTCCTATGTGCTGTACAGAATAAAATGAAGTTGGTCTAAAACCATGCAGTCTGACCTTGCAAAGCCTTCCTCATGTGAGCAGCCTCAATGAAATCCTGTGAAATCCTTGGGATTACAGGCATGGAAATATACTTCTCAGAGAAGTAAGAAAAAAAAAAAATTTAAAAAAATCCCATAGTAAGACACAAGTACAAGGGAAAGGGAGAAAGGAAAAAAAAAAACCAAACCAATATTTATGAAAACCGAGAAAACCTTGGTCAAAATATTTTATTCTGCATATCCTGCCTCTCCCCAAGCTGTTCTCCACGGTCCTTTTCGGCACAGAAATAGGCTCAAGCAGAAAGAAAACATCACGCGTACTTGATAAAAAGCGATTTTTAATTTTATCAAATTGCTCTGTACAAAAGTTAGCATCGCTTAGTCAGAAGCTAGTGAAGAGAACAGATAAGTAACAGCCAAAGTCTTTCAAACTTTACACAGAAAAATAGATTGCATAAAAATGAGTTTTCTGTATTTTGCCCCACCCCCACGTCCCCAAAGGAAATATGCAAAAAATATTTTTAGAAAAAGAGTAGGAAACATAGAAAAGGTAAAAAGATGATAACCTCTGAAATGCGGGTTTAGATTTACAAAGTTTTTAAAGGCACAAGTTACCATAAAATAGATGGTTATTATATGCTCAGCATACAATGGAAGAAGTAGAAATATATCAATGAAATATTAGTCTAAAACTAAGTACCTAAACATTTTTTTTTTAGTGGAGAAGATTTTAGTTTCACAGCTTGATGGATGATATCTGGTCCCTAGAAGCCAAAATTAAATCAGAAGTTGGTCATTTCTCATTAAATTACACCTTCCTACGAAGTAGTCCTGGTTCCGAAAGCGTACAAAGACTCTGCAATACCTTAAAATCCAATTTTAACGCCAGAAGGCAGGTAGCCAGAAAACCCGCCTGCTCCTCTTCGCAATCCTTTTAGCCTCCCAACTTAATTAGTAGCTCTTCCCCCCCCCTCCGTTATTTTGCGCTCCCCTTTGAGTTCCCTGGTGGTGACCAGGCCTGCGATGGGCAGATGGGTTCAGTCCCTCGCTCAACCACGACTGCTGCAGCGGTTCACAACAAAAAAAAACCCAAAAACCAACGAAAATCTATAGGCTCATAACACCATTTTATTGGATCAGCTCCACTATTTTTATGCTCCCTCCGCACCCCATCTTTAAAATCTTTTAAAATTCTACTTTTTGCACAAAATTACTTCATTAATTAAGAGACAAAATAATACAGAACATAAATACATATTTAACAGATTTAAAAAAAAAAAAACAAAACAACACTTTAAGCTTCCAAAACCAAAACAAAATGTTAATTACAGCCAAACCTTGCTTAGAAGAACTCTTGACTAAAAAAAAAAAACAAACACTTCAGACATTTAATTGGTTGGTCCCACCAGACTCGTTTGTTCCCACAAGATTGTTCCACGGAAGAGCCGGGTTTTCGGGATTCATCCGCGTTGGTCCGAGTGAGTTCTTGCCCTCAAGGTTGGTCCGTTCCTCACATTGCAATAGACCCTTAAAGTCTCAAACAGCTTTATTTTTTTTTCTCTCCTCTTTCCCCCCCTTCCCACCCCCCGCTCCACTTTTGCACTTGTCAACTTCCACGACGAATTAAGTTCAGTTCAGTCCTCACAGAGGAGTCGAATGTTTTTTGTCCTTCATTTAATTCAAAAAGGAATCACTGGTCCTTTTTTTTCTTATTATTATTTTAAATTTTTTTTTTAAATCGTATTAATTAAAGAAAAATAGAGCTCTGTCCTTTTGGAGAGTTTTGAAGCAAGGGGACATCCAGTCGCAATGAGTAGAGTTCCCAGTGGCTCAGGAGGCACTTTGGAAACTATCGCGGCACTCCACGCTCTTCGTCTTCATTCCTTCATTAGTGCATATGTCGGGGAAGCCCTCGGGGGCTCTGCGCATCCTTTAAGGCCTCGTCAGGGTCGTATAGACCGGCTGGTCCCAGTTAGCGGTGGGGCTGTGGGCTGGCGGGATGGACAAGCCATTGAGGATGGGTGTCGCGTAGGGACGGCGGGAGGAGTGGAAGTAGGGGTACTGGTAAATGCTGGAGGGGTAGCCAGGGTAGGGGTTGTAGTAGTTGGAGCTCTGGAGGTCCGTGTAGTCACACTGGGAGCTGGAGAAGGAGGCAGCAGCCGTGGCAGTGGAGGCAGTGGTGGCACAAGCCTGGGCGCTGTAAGAGCCGTAGTCGGAATGCGCAGGAGAGCCATGAGACTGGTCACTGTAGTGGCTGGGGCTCAGCTGCTCCGTTTTGATGTGCGGCCTTTGCTGGCCCGAGTCAGCGGATGACGGTGACGCTGAGGCCGGGCTTTTGTGAGTCCAGACCTGGTTGGTCCCGCCGGTGCCTGTGGCCGAGTGGGAGTAGGACGCACCATAGGAGCTGGCAGCAGCATTGGGGCCGTGGTCGGCCGGCATGGCAGCGTGGCCATTGAGCGGCAGGTACTGGTCGAACTCGTGCACATCAAAGGTCTCCATGTTGTTGATGACCTCGCTACTCAGCTCCGAGATGTCCACGTTGCTGAAGTCGATGTTCTGGCGGCCGCTCTCCACGAGGCGGCGGCCCTCGTGCTTCAGCTCCTGCTTGCTGCCGTGGTGGAGGTCGGTTTTGGGGGTGGTGGGTGGGGTGGGTGGCCCATGGGTCTGGCCTGGGGACAAAGGGACAGCAAGGCTTTAACAAGAGCACCCACAAAACAGACTCCTTCAAGGAGGATGAAAAAAAAACCAACGCACATTTCTCCCCCTTCTTGCAAGAAGGAAAGGGGGATTTAAATCTATGGCCCCATGCTGGAGGTAGCTGACGTCCCCCTGTGACCATGCTGGGGACCGTGTCCTCGGCAGGGTAAACCCCTCACACGGGTGATGGAGGAGAAGGCGGGGAGCACACTGTGCCCATCAGGGTCACTCTGGGCTGTGGCAGGACACCCCCACCTGCACAAGCTCCCCCTCGCCCAGGAAGCAGAACCAGGGGGGTGGGTTCAGAGGGACCCACTCAGCCTCTCCGCAAGGGCAGCCTGAAGCCAGCCTGGCTCTCCCGGAGACAGAGAAGCTGTCCCGGCAGAGCAGGCCGGGGCCGGGATCCTCAGCCAGGCTGGGCGAGAGTGCAGACGCGTCTGAAGCTGCAGGACGTTCGCAATCCTCCTGGAATCTGTCAACACACACCCTGTGCCAATTTGCAGAGCCACGGAGAAGCGGGGAGCTCCAGGGGGAAAGCTGCCTCTCCAGGACCCGCTCCCTCAGGCACCCTCTGCATGGCCAATGGATTATTAACCCTTATTAGCTCACAATTAATTCTCCCCGCTCCCGGGCCAGCTGGGAAATGAGGATCCATGCTCTTTGGGACAGTCAGCTCTATAAGCATTTTGCACAGTCAGCTCTATAAGCATTTACTAAAGAAAACTGCAGCCACGTTCACAATCTGGTGCAAAACCGCAGCTCTCAGGGCAATGACTGCTGCTTCTGAATGGTCCCAATGCCACCGATATTCATCTGGGGGGCAGGTGAGCCTGTGCCCACCAGCGGGTTCATGTCCCAAACCAGCATGCCCGGGACCCGCAGATGTTTTTGCCCACAGGAGCCCTTTACCTGTGTGATCGCCGTGGTGGTGGGAATCGGCCATGCCTCCCAGGCCGCTGTCCGCTTTGTAGATCTGTGTGCCCGCATGGTGGCTGAGCTCAGCTCCGGAGTCAGAATCGCTCTGCCCGGCTTTTACGCTTTTCCTCCTCCGTGGCTGGTATTTATAATCCGGGTGATCCTTTTTGTGCTGGACCCTGAGCCGCTCAGCTTCTTCCACAAAGGGACGTTTCTCATTTTCGCTTAGCAAACTGGTTTGGGATAGATTTTTTTTAAGTAAGGAGAAGGGAAAAAAAAAATAATCCAAAATTAATGTCTTTTCCTTAGAAGTTTTCAGCCTATTGTCAGACTCACATCTCTATTCCCCACACACTGATTTGAGCAACCAGAAAGTTAGTTACAAACCGAATTTACTGTGGGGGAAAAAAAAAAAAAAAAGCCTAAACTGTGTTAAAAAATGTATGAAAATACCAACCATAGAGGCGTGAAAAAAACCTGACCACTACAGATACTGATAACTGAGCAAACCAAAATCCCCCTGCCCCATTTTAAAAGCCTTTGCCAAATATTATTGCTATGTTTGTCCTACGAATGCCACCCCCTCACTGCAGCAAACAACGCTGCCCATTTCCAGCTTTGTTTGGTGCCTACAAAGAAACCACGAAGGCAACAGCAATGGGATTATTTCTTTCAAAACTCTCCCCCGCCCGGACCTCTCTTCGCAAACTCTTGGAGAGTCTCAAACCGCAGGGGGGGCATCACTAGCCCAAACAGGCAGGAAAGATGTGAGTTTGGTACAGCTAGACACGACCGAATATACCACACGATAAAATGTGGCTCGTCGCAGAGCCTTGGAAAGCAGAGAATGCCCAGATGCTGCCCAGCAAAAAAAAAGTTTGCATCAGTGGGCAGCACTGAGCATGTGAGCACACAGGTAAGAAGGGAAATTAGAAAGCAAATTAAAATAACAGCTAAAAAGTAGCTTGTTTGGGTTTATAGCTTGTTAAGTGACAAGCAAGCAAGGCAAGGAAAAAGAAAAACGTTTTAGAAAAAGCCATTGTAGAAGAAGAGATTAAAAAAGTCTGTCTCCTGGGCACAGGGACAACCCTGGCCGGGAGAGGAAAGGGCCCAGGCTGCACATCTGGGTGACGAAGCAGGGAAAACCCACGGGTGACGCAGCACTGGGACAGGACCCGGCGGCAGCACCACGGCCGTGGGTGCCCCTTGCACAGGGGCTTTTTTGGGAGCAGGGACCGACCACGTCCTTTGCAGTGTGGCCGACACGGCTCCGGGGGATTTCTGCACTTCGGTTTGAAACGCGTGGAGAATCCCCCGTGGGCACAGATGGGTGAAAAAAATAAATCTTAAAAAAAACGGTAGGAAAGCGGTGGGAGGGGGAACCCAGGCGAGCACCCCGAGGCCCACGGGGGTCCCGCCG